CCATTCTGAAATAATCAAATTATAATGAAATTTGCTACAATATAATTAACAGTACTACACCGAAAAAAATATATTCGTTGAGTTAACATTTGCCTAAATGTCATTTTTGAAAATGTTGTTTCAACAAAAAACCTATTGGATTAATCTATATTTTGGTGTCAAAGCAATAGTCAGAGTTTGTCAAAGTTTATTTGTTCATTTGACAATTTAAAATATTGATCTTACATGAACTAATTGTTTGAATTAAAGTTTTTATCCTATTTTGATTTAATAGCTGGAATTGGTTAAATCAAATACTAAAATTGTTGGGATTACCTAAAAAAACTATTAGATTAACGTTTAGTTGCTGTTTAATCCACAACATTAAATTTGTTCATTTAACAAATTGTAAATGTTATTTTAAAATTTAAAATGTTAAATTTGCATTCATAAAGTTGCCTTAACACTCTAAGAATGTTAAATTAACAAAATTAGCAGATTGGAACAAATATCCTAATTTTGTTCATTTGACTGTTATTTGTTGTTCAATTAAACAATACAATTTGACATTTTTAGATGGTTAAGTAAACGTGCAAAAACCATTGCTTGTATTTAAAGTGCATAAAGAGTTGAATTAATATTTTTTTTGTTGTTTCAACAGCTTATTTTTTTCAGTGTACTACCACACTTACTGATGTATTTCGCAACTTTAACCCACTACACTGTATCCCCTAATTTTAGTTTAAAAACCAGTGATGGCTTCTTTCTTCAGATACTTTGCACTTAATAGGTATAAGGAATCCGAATAACAATAATAACAGATATCTGGTAATATATTATAAACACTTTGGAGAGTTGTTACGAACACGGTACGAATTAGAATAAAGTAAGCAAAAACTTTGGTTGCATACGTTAAAGTCAGTGGAACTTGTTGATGCGAATTATTATAAATTTTACAAACTAAAAACTCATGTTAATAAATCTGATTTTTATAACATTGTATAGTATAGGTACACTACACTAGACTGGGCCAAAAAAAATCAACTATTTTTTTTTTGAAAAGTATATCGAAAATATGGTTTGGGGTGACAAAAAAAAAATTATTGTGAAAGTTTGAGTCCATGGACTTATGCATAATATTAATATTTAGAGCTTTATCATCGCAATTTTAATTTTTTTTTCCTCAGCAAGTTTTTGTCTCAGAACTCTTAAACCATTAAGTTTAACAAAATTGACTTAAAAATATTTTTTGAAGAAAATTAAATGCTCTACAAAAAGGTTAAAGTGAAATTTTCCGTCAGTTGAACCGTTTCCTTAAAATTATGACTTAAAAAATGGTATAGTTTTACAATTTGATCTTTTAACTTTGGAATTTTGTAATTCAAGTAAAAATCAGTACCCATAAAAAACCGATAAATATTCTTATGGGAAATCAAATGCTTTACAAAAAAAGCCTTTCAACATTTTTGGCTAAATTCACTCAATCAAAAGTTATTCAAAGTTAAAATTTCGTTTTGACTTCAAATTTAACCTTGATTATTTCCCTCATTATAATATGAACCAATCAAAAGCCTTGAATTTTCGAATAAATTTCGTTTAAATAAGCGATTAAATCACTAGAACTATTTAACAGCGATTAAATTTTAGCCTCCATATTGGATTTTTGTTTACGATTTTATGGTGTTATTTACAAGTTTTAACAAACATTTTTTAAAAAACAATAAAAAATAAGTTATCTAGTTTACGAAATATCAATTATTACTTATTACATACCTTAAATTAATGGAATTTTCTTTAAAAAAATATTTATAAATTTTGACACATACGTCAGATTTTATGAATTGTCAAATAGTTTCCTTTAATTCGAGAAATAATCTAGACGTATATCACTCAACCTATAAATTTAATCTGTCAAACTATGCACAGTAATTTTTTTATTTGATTTTTCTTTTTGGAAAATAGTTTCATGGAAAATAATTAAAAATAAAACCCCTCGACCGCTATGCGGTCTCGTGATTTCATTAAATTATTTTACATTCAACATTTTCCAACAAAAACCAAACAAAAAAATACTGAGCCTAGTTTAACCGATTAAATTCATAGTTCTCGTGATATAATATATGAATAACTTTTGATTGAGTGAATTTAGCCAAAAATGTTAGGAGGCTTTTTTGTAAAGCATTTGATTTCCCATAAGAATATTCACCGTTTTTTTTTCTGGGAACTGATTTTTACATGAAATACAAAATTCCAAAGTTAAAAGATCAAAATGTAAAACTATAACAATTTTTAAGGCATGATTTTAAGGAAACGATTCATCTGACAGAAAATTTCGTTTTAACCTTTTTTGTAGAGCATTCAATTTTCTTCATAAAATATTTTTGAGTCAATTTTGTTAAACTCAATGGTTTGGGAGTTCTGAGACAAAAACTTGCTGTGGAAAAAAAAAATTAAAATTGCGATGATAGACCTCTGAATATTAATATTATGGATTCAAACTTTCACAATTTTTTTTGTCACCCCAAACCATATTTTCACCCATAATATAACTAGTGGTATGATTATCATCGATGATATTTTCGAATTGAAACCGAGCTGCAGATTTCACGAGTCCGCAGGACAAGTGAAATGTGCTGCTTCGGTTTTAATGAGTAAATATCATCGATAATTAATCATACCACGAGTTATATTTAGTGAGAAAATATAATGAATTTTAGGATTTAACGAATTTTTAGTTTGACATTTGAAATTAAAATGTGCTTTAAAATATAAAAAGACTTTAATAAACCTTATTTATTCAAACTTACCTTAATTTTATTATCGTTTACACCAACCCATCGATCTTTTAGAGTTTATAATTCATTATTTTAATCATTTAGGTAACAAACACAGTATTTAAATGACAACAAATGTCAAATCAAAAAAACGTCAAAGTTCATAGTAACGTGTAAACAAGATGATAAAAATTATTGCCGCTGTGATAAAATACGTCACTATGGAATACTGGCATTTTATTGGTTCTAATATTAATGAATTATATTGTCGATATACTTTTCAAAAAAAAAATAGTTGATTTTTTTGGCCCAGTCTACTGTATACATGCAAAGAAATTTGTTGACAAAATCAATATAAATATATAAATCTTCTTTACAAATTGTGTTAAAAATACGTATACCTAATAACAAATTGTAATACACATTTAAACGAAATTGAAACAAATGTATTACTATAGCCGGGTCCAGACTTGGTAACATTGTTATATAACTTTGCTATATAACTCTGCTATAAAACTTTTGTTTAAAAACATAGTCGCGTCCACACCTAGGTCAGTCAAGATGGATGCAGAAAACCAACTACTAGCAGCAGCGGCGTGCGTAATTTTGCTTACCAAGAAGAAAAAACCGAGGAAAAAGCGGTTTTGGGTTCGACCTACACTGAGGTCAAGAACTCAATATAGTGGGACTCATTTATTAGAGGATCTTAAACAAGACGATGTCGGCTCTATCGACTACGGAATGAGATACAGGGGAAGCTTTAAAAACTTCTGTAGAATATCCAGTTCGGATTTCGACCAATTGCTAAATTTAATTGGCCCCAAAATTCGCAAGAATGACACGCGATGCAGAGATGCAATACCTATTAATGAACGTCTGGCAGTAACTTTGCGATTTTTAGCAACTGGAGATTCATACCAAAGCCTGATGTATTTATTCAAAATTTCTAAGCAGTCAATATCACTTATTGTTCCTGAAGTTTGTGGTGCAATTATAGAAGTTTTACAACAGTACATAAAGGTGAGTTTATATAAAATATTTCTAATAAATTTTAAAGTTTAAATTGTTTAAATTAAAATATTGATAAAATTAGGAAAACCTATTATTCTTGAAACTACATAAAGGTAACCTTAATATTCCAGTTGCCTACCAGTCAGGACGAGTGGAAGGTTATTGCTAATGACTTTTTTGGGGAGTGGAATTTTCCTAACTGTGTTGGTTCTATGGATGGAAAACACGTTATGATACAAGCTCCAATTTTAAGCGGATCAGAATATTTCAACTATAAAGGCTTTTTTAGCATTGTTCTTTTTGCTCTTGTTGATGCCAATTATTGTTTTACTTATGTTAATACTGGGTGCCAAGGGCGAATATCAGACGGAGGCGTGTATGCAAATACAACTTTGAAAAATTTGGTTGAAGAAAATGCTTTAAATTTTCCTGAACCCTGTACTCTTCCCGGAAGATCTATTGCAGTACCCTATGTTTTTGTTGGGGATGAAGCTTTTCCGTTACAAACGCATATCATGAAACCATATCCGGGACTTCAGGACAAAGGTTCCAGTGAAAGAATATTTAATTATCGCCTCAGTCGTGCTCGTAGGGTAGTCGAGAACGTCTTTGGAATAATGTCATCTGTGTTTAGAGTCTTAAGAAAGCCAATGCTTCTGGAACCAAAAAAAGCTGAAAAAATCGTGTTAGCTTGTGTTTGTTTGCATAATTTTCTCAGAAGAAGTGTCACATCAAAATGTCTTTACACACCAGTTGGAACATTTGATACAGAAGATACTGAAAACGGAAAAGTAATACCAGGGAAGTGGAGAGAAGATCAAGCAGATATGACATCACTACTTCCAATGAAAAAGGTACCAAAAAAATCATCTCAAGCAGCTCACGAAATTCGAAACGAATTTCGGGATTTTTTTCTATCGGATCAAGGAAAAGTTTCCTGGCAAGAAAACTATTAATTATTATAATTATTATTATCTAGGTTTTACTATATAGGGTATCAATGTACGAAAAATGTAAAATGTGTTTGATAGATAAAAAATAAAACTAAGAATTAATTAATAAAAATAAACTGTAGTTTTATTATTAAAAACAAAACATTATTATTATCAAAAACGAGTCTTTATACTATAATATCATAAACTAAGGTAATTAATGAAAATAAACTGTACTAAGCAAAATATTATTATTATACAAAACGAGTCCTTAAAGTATAATATTATTAACGTAGGTAGGTATTTATAGGTCTTCAAGGTTAAAATCCCTTACATATTCTCGAACACTGGAACAAGTAGTTTGATCAGATTTCTTTTGCGTTTTATTTTGATAGGACATGATAGGTTGAGAATTTGGAGGTATAGGACTGAGGTTAGAGAGCAAGTTATTTTCACCATAAGAAGATGTAGAGTGAGAAAAATCATTTTCGGAATAAGAAGACATCTGGGAACACGGGCGTGGACTGCAAAGAGAGGACGCTGAAGAATACTGGCTTTCCATTACATGACTAGGAAATGGTTGTTGAGAACTTTGGGTGTCACTGTATGGTAGAAGAGAAGTTTTGGGAAGCTGCGTTCCCGACATTTCAACAAATGAAGAGTTGGGCTGATGTAGATAATTTCGATAATTATTCAATTGAGGAAAAAAAATTAATTTCTGATTTTCAGGTTTTGCTTTAAAAATAACATTGTCGATTTCATGCATAACCTGATCTCTTATATTCTCATCCAGCTTTCTTATTCTTTTTGCAATTAACTCTCCGTAAATATCATATTCATCCCTTTGGTTAGCATTTTTTTTTAAAGATTGTAAGACAGAATAAGCTTCTTCCTGTCTCTTATCTAATTCACGCGCTGTTCGTTTTTTTCCAACAAGCTGTGGAAGTGGCATTGGTTTGGAAGATGATGCTAAAAAATGAATTCGTAATAATAGTTATTTATGTCGTAAGGCTGGGAAGTAAGTCTTTTTGTGTTGATCTCAAAGTTTGAATGCCGACGCGAAGCGGAGGCATACAATTGAGCGAAACACAAAATGACACTTCACAGCCAAATGGCATACAACGTTTTATATGCAAGCGTTCTATAATTTAAACTTTATTTGTTATCGATACGATATTAGCACTTAAATATTTTTGCCCGATTTGTCAATTTATTTTTACATCCTAGGCGATAATCAATCACTTAAGTAACGAGTGTTGCATTAATATTGTCTTAATTATAGAACGATTGCAGATAAAAACTTTAAATAAGTAGGTAAAAACGTATATTTTTTACCTGTAGGAAAATTTATGTCTTCTTCGCTTTCATTTATAATTTGGATATCGTTTGTTATATTAAACTCACTTTCCAATAATTCATTGTTATTCTTAAAAAAAGTAAACCATCTTTATAAAGCAGAATTCAGTTTTAAAATATAATTACCTTTTCAATGCCTGCTTCTATTGTTTCTCTTGGTTTGTTTTTGTCTTGTAAAAACGTCAACATTTTAAACGCAAACCATTTAGACTGGTACGCTTCATCTGCCCCTGTTCCTGTTCCTGATTTTGTTTTTTTTTGCTCCCTTTGAAATTGTCCGATTAAGCATCTCATTTTTTTTTCTACTTCGTCCTTTCCCAAATTAAGAGCTTTCCCAATTTTATTCCAAGCGTCATGTTTTTTTTGTTTATTTTTGTACAAAGGGCTAAATGTGTCCCATAGTTCGGAATTTTGTCTATATAATTCAATTAGCTTGCACGTTTGTTCCACGTTCCATTCCATTTTATATCAATAATAATTATATAAATAATTATTATTTATATATTATATTTTGTTTAAATTTGTTGGCACTTCACTCAAGACCAACTGCACAGCACTGATCGGTTGTTGAAATAAAATTTAACAAGTGTGGACACGTTTGTAAAAGCAGTGCGATATAACTTCTTTTGATCTTACCGACTCTAGATGGATAACATATAGCAAGTAATATAGCAAGGAATTCTGCTACAATTAGCTTAAATTTTAGTAACATGTTATATAACCTTGCTATATAGCAGTGTTATATAGCAAGTGTGGACCCGGCTTATAACTTACAATACCTATAACAGCAATTTGTTGTAGCAAGTTGCTACTAGCAACACATATTTTTATATGTGCATTTTAGTCATGTACTTATTATTATTGCGTTTGTCACTATAATCTGCAGGCCCGTTCCTGGGGTGTCTAGCGCCTACGTGCAGCATTCTTTGGTGCGCCCCTTTTATTTTTAAATATAATACATTAAATATTTTAATTCTAAGCCCTAATATTTAAAAAAATATATACAAACTGGCAATATGTAATTGAAAATGTAAAAAAAAAACTGCTGAAATTAAGCATAAAATATATTTATTAAATTACCAAACAAACAAAATAACAAAAAATACAACTGGTTTTTAGTGACGTACTCTCTTAAAATGAGTTAGTCAAAAATGACTAGTTTTCAAAGTAAAAAAGCAGTCACTAATAACTGTAGTCCACAGCAATTTTTATCCCGGACCTTTAACAGCTTAATAATATGTAAAACTGTCCCCTGAATCCAAAAAGACAGTCAAAAATTATGAAAGTAGAGCAGTTTTTGAGATATAGTCACTAGGGTTGCCAGATTCTGTCAAAAAAATAAAGTACATTTTGTGAGAATTTACCTTAACTACAAAACAATATTGTTATTGTGAATTTGACGTTATCTAAGTATTGTTGATTGTGTCATTTTTGTAATTAAGGTAAATTGTCACAAAATGTTTTTTGACAGAATCTGGCAACTCTAATAGTCACCCATAATATAACAAGTGGTATGATTATCATCGATGATATTTTCGAATTGAAACCGATGTGCTGCTTCGGTTTCAATGAGTAAATATCATCGATAATTAATCATATTACGAGTTATATTTAGTGAGAAAATATAATGAATTTTATTATTTAACGAATTGTCAGTTTGACATTTGAAATTAAAATGTACTTTAAAATATAAAAAGACTTTAATAAACCTTATTTATTCAAACTTACCTTAATTTTATTATCGGTTACACCAACCCATCGATCTTTTAGAGTTTAAGTATAATTTATTATTTTAATCATTTAAAAAAACACAGTATTTAAATGTTAAAAAATGTCAAATCAAGAAAAGTGTCAAAATCCTTAGCAACGTATATACAAGGTGATAAAAAGTATTGTCGCTTTGATAAAATGCGTAACCATGGAATACTGGCATCAGTGGCGGCTGGTGGATTTTATGTATACCAATATCTCAGTTATTAGACATGGGACCCACATCAAATTTATAATAGTTTATAATGACATTAAATAAACAAGTTCGGCGTAAACAGAATTTAAATTAAAGTTTTGGGAAAAAAAGTTAGTTTTTCCTGTCGCCTCACCCGCCTCCAGGCCCCCCTATTTGAGATAATTTAAATTAAAGTGGTGCAATTTATTATCTACTATAATTTATCGAAAAATTTAAAATTTTATTGAAAAAACTATAGATTTAACAAAAACATTTTAAGTTCGACGAAGATTTAATATATACATAAAGTATTTCTTATTGCCATGACAATAAGATAACAACTATTACTTTGTTGGATGAACATTTTTTTATAAAAGCTCAGCATTGCTGCTTCATTATACTAAATGAGAATTTTATTAACAGTAAAAAAATTTAATTCTGTAAATAAAAATAATCATGCATTCTTTTAATAAATCTTCCACAAAACTGATCAATTGCTCTTTTCGCACCCAACACAAATTATTTTCTCAATTTTGGCTTGTTTACAGCTAGGGTAAATAGTTCTGACAGCTACCTAAACTCAACCCTAAATAAATATTTAGGCCCTCAACTAAGACTAAATTAATAATATACTTATACGTATATCTAACGCCCAAACTTCCTTCAATCTTGCATTCTAACATACAGCTAACATCTATTAATTCCTTGACGTAACATATAGCGGGTCATTGTCTGAGCAAGCAATAAAAACGTCCGTGTCGGTAGGAAACCGGGATGCCTAGCATAGAACTGCCTGGAAGATATACTGTAAATCTAATATGTGTCTCATGCGACCTGGGAAAGATAAGAATCCTACGCGCCGCGCATTTTTTACAGACGCGAGGAATTCATCTAATAACGGCCAGTTACCTACCTACGCTGACGGGGAAGTCTGACTTAACTCATTAACTAATTTTTATATAGGTCGTTTCAACAAATTGCTACCATCATTCTTGCTCAGAAAAAAGTCATACAAAAAATGATGAAAATGATGATTTTTTTTATTCAGACGAGCATGTTAAAATTGTCTGAAATCTTGCAAAACTATCTTACAATTCCTAAGATCCCTAAAATGTCTTAGGAAGTCCTAAACAATCTTATGCCACTGGTCCTGAATCTTCTTACAAAAACCATTTGTGACAAAAACATAATTTGTCTTCTTCGACCAAGCCACAGAATTAAGACGTCAGGTTTTAAACTAGTTTAAAACCTGACGCATTTTGACTTAATTTTTCAAACGATTGTGATTTAATTAATTTTAGTCGTAAACGATTGAAACTTGGAATGTGTGTTGGATAAAATTTATTTTTTTCATAGCAAAAAGCTCTTTGTGGTAGTTTATAAAATAAAAAAGTTTTTGTCACATAGGCCCCCAGTGTAATTATTTGTTGACAGATAGGTGTCTAGAGATGCAACTTGAAAAAAAACGGTCGTTTTTTTGTTTTTTTTTCAGGTTTTTTTTCATGGTTATTTTTCAAATGTTTTTTTTTTTCACATTTTAGGTTTTTTTTCATGATTAGTCCCATTTGCCTAATTTTTTAGGTTTCATGGACTAAAATTAGTCACTAAATGACAATTAGTAAATGTAAACGATCCACAACAAAATATTAAATAGTTTTTTTTTTAGCGCATTACTGTTTTTGCTTGTATGTATTTGCATTTAATAACTATTAGTATATTTAGGACAAATTGTTAACTTCTATGTAATTTCTGCATTTTTCTTCTTTTTTCAATAAATATTTAAAAATGAATAAGTTTGTTAAAGAATTTATACTGGAACCTATTAACACAGAAGTGGTGAAAAATTCACATGAAGCCAATGAAGTTTTGAAGATTAATAACAAACATACCAATTTTAAAGTTTTGCATGAAAATATTCGTAGTATTAATAAGAATTACGACGAATTTGTTGTATTTTTATCACAATTTGATTTTAATTTTGAATGTTTAGTACTAAGCGAATGCTTCCAAATTGATAATATAGACATATTTCAAATCGATGGCTATAATTTATTTTATAATGAAGGTAAATTTAATAAAAATGATGGTATTTTGGTATATGTTAAAAATTGTATTCCCTTTAAATGTTACATTAAAAAACATAACAGTTTCAATTTTCTTAATATAGACTTAAATTTTGAAGAATTTTGTATTAAACTTATTGCTTTATATAGACCACCCACAACTTGTATTTCAGAATTTTTTGATAGCCTAGGTAATGTTTTGAATGATACTTATGATAAAAACAAAATATATTTTTTTATTGGAGATATAAATATTGATATCTCAAGTGATAAAAATTATGCGCAAGAATATTTAAATTTGCTAACTGAATTCGATTTTACACCAATAATTACAAAATTTACTCGAGTCCAAGGAGATTCCAAATCATGTATTGATCATATCTTTCTAAAGAGTTACTTTGAATACAAGGACAATATACTACCTTTGATTATAGAAACATCCTTGACTGATCACTACATGGTTTGTGCTCAATTAGTTTTAAACAAAATTATAAATCAAACACAATATCCAAAAAATTTTATTCGAAGTATTGACTATTGTAAACTAAAAAACGAATTAAATAAGCCTTTTTGGGAAAATGATGTCACTGATGTGGAATCTCAAACAAATAGGTTTGTACAAATCATACAACAAGCTGTTGAAAAGTGTACTAATATAATAAAGATACAACATAATAAAATAAAAAGAAAGCAATGGATAACTAAAGGCCTTGTTAACTCTATAAATCAAAGGGATTTATTATATCAAAATCTTAAAAAAGACCCCAAGAATGAAAATTTAAAAAATGAATGTAAAATCTATAGAAACCATGTAAACAATCTTATAAAGGAAACAAAAACAAACTATTATAAAACTAAAATAAACTCTAACAAAAATCCGTCCCACCTGTGGAATGTTGTTAATGATATTACTTTAAAAAATAAACAACAAACCCAAAAAATAACAGAAATAGAATACGAAAATAATATTGTTAAAGACGCCTATAAACTACCAGATATATTTAATGACTATTTTACGAATATTGGAACAAATCTAGCAAAAAATATAATAAAAAAACCTTACAGGGAAAACATAGAAAATAATAAAAATACCTTGTTTTTAACACCAACAGATCCCAATGAGGTAAAAAAAACTATTTTAAGTTTACCTAACAAAAAGAGTGCCGGACCAGACAACCTTAAAGCTGAAATCCTTAAGCAAATTGTTGAAACGATATTAGTTCCATTTACAGCAATAATTAATAATATATTTGAAACAGGTGTTGTTCCTACGGCATTAAAACTAGCGGTTATTAAACCAATTTTTAAAGAAGGCAATAATAAACTTACGTCTAACTATAGGCCTATTTCTTTAATTAGCAATCTGGCTAAAGTATTTGAAAAAATATTTAAAGCCAGGATATTAAAATTTATCTATAAATATAAATTGATATCAGATCGTCAATTTGGTTTTA